AATAATAATGAAACCTTCAAAAAGTAATAATAACACGGTCACGAGAACAATAACAGTTTCATAAGAACAATGTTAACATACCTATTCTCGAGCATCAGTGCCTCGGCCAATTCCATTAACTGCCTATCCAATAACTCACAAATGCGATCAGTCATTCGACAGTGTAATTTATAACCTTGCATAGCACTCACCTGTTATTTGTTCACAATAACGTACTTTGACGAAAACAATTTACATCATTACGTTAAATTATCTTCTTTACGTCCAGAATCACTTTCATCTATTATTTTTATTATTATTATTAGTACTCTAACTAATATTCTGAATACTCAAGAAGCTTCCTCAAAATGCATGAAGAAATCAAACCTGATCAAGAATGGCGATGAACGGTCGATTCAAGCATACTCCGGTTGGGCTTGAATATTTGACTATTTCGATATACATCTCTACTGATCCATGAAATTTATTCTAAAATGAAACTCCTAAAATGTAGTTCTCTCACTATCACAGAAAAGGAAAAAACTGCGAAAATTTACAACAACTGAAGAAATTTTACATTTCTTAAAGTGTATTTGCAATTGCTTCTGAATAATATCACTTATGAACGAACGAACGAATCGAATTCATTCATTCAATCATCAACTTTATGAAGTGCGATAACTAAATCCACCGCGACACTCGCACAAGTATTATCATACAAGTGCAAATCACAACAACCGCATCACCATATGCATGATCGTATGTCTGTTAAAAGTGGGCCAAGAAATCGCTGTGATAGCGATTATAATTGGTGTGATCACGAAGTGACACTTTTGTGCAAATTATACGTTTAGTGAACGAATAAATTAATGAAATGCAAATCAAATCACTCAATTCCCCCCAAAAAATGCAGTTCAAATGAGACGAAAGAAGGAAGCAAATCGAACGAATAGGAATACAACCTGAGATGGTCTGAAGTGAACGCGCAGTTTATTCTTCCTTTTATATTTCTCCCTATTATCCGGGACCGAGTATTTCTGAGACCACTCCGTTCGGTCGGATAGCCAAGGATCCACCGATACAACACCTTTGATGCCACGGAATCGAATCTGCAACTGAGCATTCTTATCATCTCCAAAATATAAGGTAGTCAATCGTTTTCTTCATTTTCTGTTTGATTCCGAAGAATTTCATGAATTCGATAATTCTACAAAAAATTTTTACGAGATATATATCATTGATTTACATTCACCTCCAACAAAATCATCACCATTTCGATTCTTTTCAATTGCCTTTTGATTATAAAACGAATCAGACTACAGAATATCGCTCTTAATATCTACCGTTTGCTACAATCAATCCATTCAGCTGTGTGCCTTTCGTCATAGTTGCATATCGATACAAAAATATCAACTATTATCAAATATTAAACTATCATTCAGAAAAAAAAAGTTTGCTCGTAATTCTCTTCGAAAACACGAAAACAAATCATGCGTTGAACTGTGAACCTGAAAACAACTCGGTACACAGTTGCCGAGGTCCAAATCCGAGGCGATATCCTCTGCATACTTCACCGATATTCGTCCACAACCATCCGAAAACGTGTACGGCTCACCGCTCGTATCACGACCACCGATTATATCGAACGTTTGATTGTAATGCTTATGGCGCAACTCCACTTTAGACTCCTTCAATTTGCTTGTTTCTCACAAACCTCCATCATACAGATCCGTGATCGGACAATCTGTCTCAAGACGTTTTGCCTATGGACAATTTGCCTACAGACACATTGCCTAAGGGACAGTTTGCCTAACGGACAATTCGTCTAACGGACAATTTTTCAATGGATATTTTGCCTAATAGGCAAACTGTCCTTAGGCAGATTGTCCGGGCACCATACAGATCGATGATTATGCACACACTTCAAAAGTTTACCACAAAGCACCTATCATGCCGAATTTTGCAGAAGCTTCAGATCTGTTTTGTCTTTTTTTTACAAACCTTCGCTTGTGTGAAGCATTGTCCGATTCGTGCCATCAGTTTCGGTATGTTCGATTTGTTAAAAATACCTAGCTGGTTACGAATTTCCTCCACTTGTTTTCCATCTTCGCCTTCATCAAAAAAGTAACATCCGCTATCGCGCATTTGCGAGTTTGATGACGCCAAATAGATGAAATGTCGATCTGCATTACGGTAAAACATCANATCAAATAGTCACATCTCACCACACTCAAATTCTCAGTACATAACATCTGACAAGAGGTTCATGCTATTGGAAGTTTCTTTTGGAATCTAATTTGATTGCCTCATTATTTTTTTTAAAGACTGATAAAGACGACAATAAAAACAGCTCCAACAATAATCGACAAAATAATAACAATAACAATAATGAAGATAATAATAACAATAATGATAATAATAATATTAATAATAACAATAACAATAATAACACTATCAATACAAAACAATACAAATAATTTCAATATGAATACTGATAACGAACCGGAGATATAGATGCCTCTTCTCATGGTGTTATGAACGGTCACATTAATGATGGTCTGTCCCACTTGGTTGAGTTTCAGTGCCTCACCGTTATCGTCTCTGAACTGAATTCGCAACGCCTTATCACCAGTCCCATCGAATTTTCGCAGCACACGATTTCCCATCAACAATTCAGGCACAACCAACAACATTCTCGTAGGTGTCAGCACTACCTGAGAAGATCAGTTATTCACTGGTGGATTGATACGACGCTTACGCTTCGGTGTCGATGCTTTCACGCCGACTGACTGCTTTGGCGTTGCTTGTTTTTGGTGCTGAGCATTCTGATAAGTCAGAATCTTGGGCAATGCTTGAGTCAAATACAGCTTCAATATAGTTAAGCCAAAACAGATGACTTACTTTATTTTCCAGTGAAACCATCAATCAAATCGCTCAACTATCCCTAATAAAACATTCGTAAACTGCAATGTCAAACGCCAAAATGCCTCTTTATTTCGTTCAATATTATATCAGTGAATAGTAAGGTAATCACTAAGACGCATTGCAATGATTGCACAAAAAAATATACGCACAACAGTTGCATTCTGATACCTTCCTCACACGTCTGTAATCGCCTTGTTTCTCCTTCTCATATATTTNCGCTCAACTATATCTAATAAAACATTCGTAAACTGCAATGTCAAACGCCAAAATGCCTCTTCATTTCGTTCAATATTATATCAGCGAATAGTAAGGTAATCATTAAGACGCATTGCAATGATTGCACAAAAAAATATACGTACAACAGTTGCATTCTGATACCTTCCTCACACGTCTGTAATCGCCTTGTTTCTCCTTCTCATATATTTTCGTCAGATCATCTGGGTGTGATTGTAGATTCTCTTTTATCGAATCGAAGGTTGCCAGTAATGACGGTGTTTCACGTCTCTCATCAATCGCATTCAACAGACGCTCCAATGTCTCGAGTGTAACCTGATTTTAACGAAATGAAAATACAAATGTTCAAACCCAAAAATGACTACTTGAACAAACACTCCTACTTCAAATCAACGACAACAACAACAACGTTATGAACGTCACCTTTTCATCGAACCAAACAAAACACTTTCTTTTTTTTTCAACAATCAACACATTTTTCTCGAACCTTACCATAAAACATAATCAAATGAAGCGAAACGTGCTAACCTCTCGATCATGATCAAAATTCTTCAATATCTTGCGCATAAATCCATCTTTTCGTTCTTCAGATCTCTGAAAATAAGAACAAATCTCTCAATGAGTACTCGAAAATCTGTGCACAATACACCAAATATCATTAGCAGTTTTAAAGCGATCCAATCGCGACAGCGCTCTTATTCAAATGCAAAAACAAAAATAAAATAAACGAAAGAACAAACCAAAATTTGATCTTTTACCACTGCACCTCTACTAATTAATGCAGCAATGAAATACTCTAATCCAAAACATTTGCGACGCTTCAATTCATCCACCCATTTCTTGTCGACTCTCGGCTCTATTGGAGTCATCAATCTTTGTTTCTGATCATTTATTTCCGCTTCTGACAAACTGCTTAAATCCCTCTCTCGTCGATAGTCGTGACCGATCACACGAACCGGTGGATCAACGTATCTGTAGGTATTCGTTTACTACGATCGCTAATCATATAATTCACTATTCACATAATCCAAATCAATCAACACAAGCGATTCACAAATGTTTGTTTGGAATTTGTAATTCACAACATCACTTATGTACTGAAGCATTGTGAAGTATTGTTAACGACTGGCAGTCAGCTTTGAACGCTGAAAGGCTGGCGACTTTCTACTAAACAAATTAGATGTGTTCAGCTAAAAATTTTATCTTTGAATCAATCGCTTTTTGCGATCCATCCATTTTTCCGGCGTATGTTAGCGATAGAGCCGGAATGTTGACGGTCATTCAAGTCAGTGAATAAATGTGTAAATATTGACTGTAGTTACTGCACAACATTACTGCGCAATGCTATCCTATTGCGGAAATAATATCATTACGTGGTTGTGTTAATTGTAAACGGAACATTTTGTTGATAGTATTAATAGCGACTATGAGGAGATAGTGAAATTTGTAATCATTCAAGTGATATAAGGCATTAACAATTATAGTAAACATCAAAAATAATATCAATTCAGCAATTAATAATAAAAATAGCAATAATAATAATAACAATATTAATAATAATAACAATAATAATAATATTAGTAACAATATCAATAAGATTGAAAAAAACGACCTGCTAACGGGTGCTGCAATGCATTCGATCGTAATAAACTCCAATGGTAAACCAATACGCGCATACAAACGGCACATTATTTCGTACAATTTATCTTTCTAAAAGATAAAACAATGATGATGATTAATTGTCTACACATTCAAATATCTTTTGTTTCCGTCATCGCTTCATTTTCAACTGTTCATTTACCTTTATGCAGATCAAAAGTGACCACTGCATACTTTTGATCCCATTAAGGAGAGGTGCCTTTCTTTCTTTCTTGCTTAACCAAAACAATTCCCTCTGTCCGAGGGACCATTTAAGTACTTTACATTCGGGTACCATATGAGTATATCTCATAAAACATTTACTAGTTAAACTTTACGCTTTGCTCTTGACTGCTTTTACAAATTTAAGAGTATTTGGAAAGCGAAACAAAAGAAGGAGCAAATTTGAGATGCTGATGATATTTTGCCATCAAACAATCAAATTTATGTGTGCGTTAATGCACTCTTAACGTTTCACATGCCTCGTTCATAAATAAATAACATAACAGATAAGTGCATCATGGCAATCAGTTACTTCAAATGTTCTGTTTTTTGCTTTCGACGAAGAGGAAATTGCTTCTTTCAAACAATTTTCAAACAATGAAAAAAAGATCTCAATACGTAAATTTCAAAACCGAACCTCCAACGATGAATCAAACTCAATATACATGAACGGACTATCGTTTATGGCCATTGTAAAGTTGTCCTTATTTTGCGGATTGTTATTTTGTGGATCGTTATCGTTTTCGGGAAAATAACTATAAAATGAAAACATTCCTTATGCATAGTCGCCTTTCTTCATTTACACAATTCAATTGGGAACGATTAATATTTTCAAAATCAACCAATAAATCGAAAATCAAACGAATAATTGCATAAGCAAAAATAAATCCGATCAAAAAAAA